AGATGAGAGAGAAGAAGCAGGAGACCCGAGATTATCGACGGATGAGAGAGATGGAGAGAGAGAGAGAAGAGAGAGAGAGAGGAGACAGAGAGAGAGGGGAGAGAGAGAAGAGAGAGGAGAGGAGAGAGAGAGGAGAGAGAGAGAGGAGAGAGAGAGAGAGGAGAGAAGAGAGAGAGAAGAGAGAGAGAGAGAAAGAGAGAGAGCGAGAGAGAGGGGAGAGAGAGAGAGAGAGAGGAGAGAGAGGAGAGAAGAGAGAAGGAAGAGGAGAGAGCAGAGAAGACGAGAGAGGGAGAGAGAGAGAGAGAGAGAGAGAGAGAGAGAGAGAGAGAGAGAGAGAGAGAGGAGAGAGAGAGGAGAGAGAGAGACGAGAGAGAGAAGAGAGAGAGAGAGACAGAGAGAGGGAGGAGCAGAGAGAAGAGAGGAGAGGAGAGAGAGAGAGAGGAGAGAGAGAGAGAGAGAGAGAGAGAGGAGAGAGAGAGAGAGAGAGAGAGAGAGAGAGAGAGAGAGGCAGAGAGAGATGAGAGCAGAGAGAGATTGAGAGGCAGAGAGAGATTGAGAGAGAAGAGAGAGAGAGAGAGAGAGAGAGAGAGAGAGAGAGAGAGAGAGAGAGAGAGAGAGAGAGAGAGAGAGAGAGAGAGAGAGAGGGGGAGAGGGGGGAAACATAGATACTTAATGGTTATATATCGGCATTTCCTCTATTTATAACCCGGAATAGAGCAACCCCCTCAGCGCTCGGCAGCCCCCCCCCTCAGCGCTCGGGCAGCCCCGCCCCCCTCAGCAGCCCCGCCCCCTCAGCGCTCGGTAGCCCCGCCCCCCTCAGCGCTCGGCAGCCCCGCCCCCTCAGCGGCAGCCCCGCCCCTCAGCGCTCGGCAGCCCCGCCCCCCTCAGCGATCGGCAGCCTCCCTCCTCAGCGCTCGGTAGCCCGCCCCCTCAGCGCTCGGCAGCCCCGCCCCCTTAGCGCTCGGTAGCCCCGCCCTCCTCAGCGCTCGGCAGCCCCGCCCCCCTCAGCGCTCGGCAGCCCCGCCCCCCTCAGCGATCGGCAGCCCCTCCCTCCTCAGCGCTCGGTAGCCCCGCCCCCCTCAGCGCTCGGCAGCCCCGCCCCCTCAGCCCAACTAACAAACATACTGTGGGTTCCGGTTACACGAAATGCCTCCACTCTGGCCGGGGTGAGAAGGGCAGGGGCTGTAAGCAGGAGACGGGGGAGGGGTCGGCCGAAGGATAACGAAGAGCTGGTTCCAGGGGAGGTGCGCCAGGATCCTCAGTTCGGGTCCTCGGTGAGATACTCGGGCCATTTTTCATCTGAAGGCAATCCTTTCGTGACACGCAAGGTGGAGAATAGGTTGAATAATTCAGGCGTGCTCCGTTTTCGGAAATCATCTGCGCTAAATCAATTTTATTCGGTGTGAAAATACAAGGAGTCTGTAACATTATTGTAAATATGTCTTTTCACTAAAGCAATATAAAAATTCAATTGCTTATCTACATTTAGCGGCAAATAAACAAATATGCCATTAAATGTAAATCAACATACAACACTTGCCCTTGCTGAAAGACGCGGACAGCTAAGCGAAGACGAAGGGACGGCGCAGAGCAAAGCTTCAGAATCACACAACATAAATCTTCTGATGCGCTGCTTTGGAAAGGCTCTAGAGAAACCCTGATGCGTCGGGACTGCGGACAAATTAGTCTTTAAAGAGGATGAAGTACGGAGTTACAAGGAGAATGAGACTTTTACGGGCAATCTTCGTGTCTCACTGGTAGTAATGCAAGCGTTATGCTGCAATCGACATGCAAAAAAAAGTAAATGAAGAACAAAAAGGCAACACGAGAGGTCTGTCAGCCACTCAAACTGATATCCCAATATGATTTTTCATCAACTCGAATTAATGCAATACAATTTATACTTTTTCAGGACATAGAACGCAGTATTCGTATGTTTGAGTACGCAATTTATATCCGTCATGCTGATCTTTGCGGATCAGAAGGTGTTTTTTGTAGTAATCAAATTCTAAATCATTAAAACAGTTAGAGCAAGGAAAGTCGTACAATCAGAGTTCTGGCTACGTCAGAACTGCCTACGTTCCTTATCTTAAAACACACGTGGGCCACCGGTTCTCAGGCCCAACGAAATCAGTCCACGTGACGCGTCTCTAACCTTTAAAGCAGAGCGGCAGATGGCAGACACCTGCACGCGGTTCCATTGACAACCTGTCCTCGGAAACGCTGGATCCAGTCTGTCGAAACAAACAATTTGTCTAAAGAGATAGTAACCCAGATACATATATACATACATATATATATATATGTGTGTGTGTGGTGTGTGTGTGTGTGTGTGTGTGTGTTGTGTGTGTGTGTGTGTGTGTGTGTGTGTTGTGTGTTGTGCCGGGTTATGTATAATGTATAAAAATAATATATATATCTATATATATCTGATACTTATATATACTATCTATATATATCTA